AAAAAAGAAAGAAAGAAAGAAAGAAAGAAAGAAAGAAAGAAAAAGAAAGAAAGAAAGAAAGAAAGAAAAAGAAAGAAAGAAAGAAAAAGAAAAAAGACTAGTATGTGCTAATATGGAATAAGGGCTAAGAACGGAAAGAACAAAGCCCAGGACAGTGTGTATCACATGCTACCAGTTAGATAAAGAAAAAATGTATACCTATATGCTTATATAGTTATACAAAAGTTCCAAAAGGAAATATGAAATACTTATCAGTGGCTGCCTCCAGGGAGTAAACTGGATTGTTGTTTTTGCTGCATACTCTTTTGTACTGCAGATTTCTGTTTTTAACCATAAATGTGTATCATTCTTTTGATATATTTTTAAGTGCTTAAAATGCCTCTACCATATAAACTTCCCATATTTACCCCAAAGAACATCTCTCCTCGCTGTCAGGTCCGGATGCAGAACAACCATAGTACCTCTCCTCTCCCCGCAGCTGTGGCTCAGCCCTATCCCCCTGCCTGTAAGTTGCGCTACCTTTGACTTATATTCATGATACTGTAGTGTACGTTTGTGTCATGTGCACCTGGAAGCCCATGTATGTCCTTTAATGTTGTGCTTCTGCTGTCATACTTTCCTGCACGTGTCCTATGGAGTCAATATGTCTTCTGTGTCCTGTAATGAGTACTCCTAGGGACCAACCAGTGCTTCATACACAGCAGAAGCTTAACTACTGCTTCTTCACTGGGTGGTCATTGCATGGATAATCATCCTTGTAAGGCATTATTACAGAAATTCAGTGAAGACATATGATAATGTACATTATTACACTCTAGAATACAGCATCCCCAAAAGCATAACTGACCAGTTCAAGATCTACACAACTCAGGATGCATGAAAGGCCAGGTCAATGGTCAGTGTCTCTGGTGTTCATCTGAACTGTTCCAACTCCCATTGTTTCCTGCTCCCTCTGCTCACCAAACTTCTGACTCTGGCACTGAACTGCCAGTACGTGCCTTGGAGACCCCAGACTCCTTTTGTATATGTTTTCCTGGTTTTTGCCCTTGACATCTGCTCCAAAATGTGGTCTGTCCACACTTGTCTCCAGGAGGAAACCAGCCGGCCAGTCAAACGGCCCCCACGGGAGAGGGATCAGGCAGGGCATGAGCAAGTGCAAGCTGTGGCTATCGCCCATGAGACTGAATGGCCTGTGATCTGGGGATTCTGGGATCATCTGCTCCAGTGTGAACAAGGCTGGGAGACCCTGATGGCTTGCAAGGAATCCAGACCCCTCTCCAGTAGGAATTAAACAGACATGTGTTTATTGATGGACACAAGTGCCCTTTGGCTGCTACAGAGAGGAAAAGTACAGAATATGGAAGGGACACACAAATTTAACTCAGAAAAGAAACTTAGAATGCCTCTGAATAACAGCATAGTTTTATATTAAATTCATATGTTAAATACAGAATGGGGCAATTGAAGAACCAGGCTCCATGCAATAGCCACTGTTGGGGTCTCTGAGTAGGTTTTAAGGATTAAGAAAATGAAGCTTGAAGTGAAATAACTCAGGGCCAACAACTACAACCCTAGAGAACTGGACCTCTTCCAGTTCACACTCACCCCTTTCCTGGGCTCGGCCGGAGTCTCAACTCTGGTCCCCACAGCCTCGTGGCAGAGTCTGGCCTGAGGACTGAGGGGAGCCCAGCAGAGTGTCCAGTTTCCAGCTGCGCAGCCGGCTGAGCCCTTCCTCCAGCATATGCCGTGGGGAGCGCTCATCAGGACTCAGAACTTAAATAGAATATGGTTTCCAATTGTGAAGAATTTGTGAAGAAGCTCAAGTAGATTTCTAATAATGTGTTTTTGTAAATCATATATCATACTGTAGGCAAAGCTGGTCTCACTGTCCAATTATCAGGACAGCAATGGGCTCAGGGTGATTTTTCCACTCAGAGATCAGCTTGCTTTGCCCCATCTACTCTCATTCCTGCCCATTCTCCCTCGTGACCTAGTGGCCAGAGGTAAAGGTTTAATATGCGGTAGGGGAGTTTTTCCTCTGTATTCGAGGAAAGCCCAGACCCAGCCCCCTTGGAGGAGCAGCCAGCCGCTTACAGTTACTCAGTCCTTCCTCACAGAGGGGGCGCTGTTTCTCTTCCTCTGAGTCGCCATTATCTTTCCTCCCTCTTTGGAAGATGGGCCTGGGCAAGGGGAGGGTCTAGAAATGTGGTCATTCCAGATTAGAGAAGAGGAAAGATGAGTAACACATTAGAAAACCAGGGGAAGGGATCTTGATGCTAATAATAACAGCATCCTGCATTTGCATAGCACTTGATAAACTTGCTGTGTGGCTCTGGACTTGCTTTGTGGTCTTTTATGAACTACCAACCTGTCTACCCATTCTCGTCCAGTCTATAAATTGAGAGATATTATTTAACAGTCTTGCTCTTATTAGCAATCATTTTCAAAACAAGACATAGACTATGAACGAAGTCCCATGTCCTCTCTAGACTGTGCACCATTCTGTAGACTCATGTGGTGTCATCCATGGCGCTGATTCCCAAAGCAATGCTGGGATGTAAGAGAGAACAGCTGCAGCAGCTAGGAATATATGCAGAAGTTCTCCAGCTCCCTGCGGCTCAGTCGTGCAGGGTTCTGGGCTTTGAGTTGTCTCTTTCCAACCTGCGGGAGAAAAGAAGAACTTCAGACCCTCTCCCACTAGGAGATCCTCATAGCAACCTTGAGACATATGAATTATTACCCCCATTTTACAGATTAAGAAAATGAAGCTTGAAGTGAAATAACTCAGGGCCAACAACTAGTATGAAGTAAAGGAGGAGCTTGAAGCCAGTTCTTCTGGCTCTAAGTCCAGTGTTTTTTTAACATGACCCGCCCTAGATTGCTTTGGCCCACACAGTGTCCTCTACAACCCTAGGCTGTCCAGTTGGCTTTGATGTGGGACTGCAGCCGAAGCACCAGGGAATCCCAGTGGGCCCCATCCACCTTCTCTCTTGTGACCACCGGCAGCGTCTTTATTGGACCACAGGTGGAAGCTAGTGGGTGGGAGTGCCCTCCATGCCTTAATTTCTCTGGGTACAAATGGGAAGTATAATTATACCTACCTCGTGGCATTCTATGAGGATTAAATGAGATAATTCACATGAAGCCACTAGCAGGCTACCAAATACATAATACACCCTCAATAACTGTTGAGTCCCTATTTTCCATTCCCTAAATGGTCTGATGGGACTCAATTCAGCCACCAGGCTCAATGGTCACTTTACAGTGTCCATTCCAGCAGCAGCTTAAGATTACCTATGCCCCAGAATGGTTCCCAATGACTTGCTAACTTTAGAAAATCATTTAGATTTATTTATCCTCCCTTCTCTGCACCCTCACCCCACACACCCTTGGCAAAGAGAGATGTCCAGTGTAAAGCCCACAGCTGGGGAACTAGCTGGAGGACAGCCCTAGTTTAAAACTCAAGCTCCCCAATAAGAGTCCAACCCTAACACATGCTATGACCTTGAATTAGACCCTTGCTTTCCTTGGACCTCAGTTTCTTTGTCTCTAAAATGAAAATGTGGATAAGAAGATCCCTCGGGGACACCTGGGTGATTCAGTTGGCTAAGCGTCTGTCTTGGGCTCAGGTCATGATCTCAGGGTCCTGGGATGGAGCCCCATGTTGGGCTCCCTGCTCAGTGGGGAGTCTGCTTCTCCCTCTGCCCCTCTCCCTGATTGTGCTCTCTCTCTCTCTCTCTCTCAAATAAATAAAATCTTAAAAAAAAAAGAAAAGATCCCTAAAATCTCTACAACTCTGAGACTCCATGCATAGCTTTTTCACGAGTGTTCAATATCAAGGCTTTTCTATGGGCACTGAACCCATTCAGTAGGAGCTCCAGAATCTTACCTCTTCGTAGATGGTATAACTGGAGGAAGAGCTCTGGTTCTTCTTCTTGGACTCAGACTGGAAATACAGAGGGTTAAGAGTGCTTAACTTCAAGTCAGGAAATGTCCCACTCCTCACTGATATGAGAGGCCCCAAAGAGACTCTGGGCCCAAAAAAAAATCCCTGAACCTACATCCAGGGGTGAATAGAATCTCCTACCCCAAGAGTAAATAATGGGGTTTATGGTTTCCGGAGAAGGCACAATACATCCTTGTGTATGACATGACATTTCTGAACCCAAGTCAGAGGTTGGTATCCCACACCCACATACCTCTCAGATCCACACATACACACATTCCCAGCACACACACACACAACCCTAGTGTAAGCACTCTGGCACACACATCCCCTGTCCCTGGCGAAACCCTAGAAACATTGGAATTCAGAGGTACTCTCAGTGGTAGGTAGAGTCTCCTTAATAACAAGCATGTGACCGTGGTGCCCATGACCATCCCTTTGGCCATGCATTGCAGCATATAACTTAAATATAAATATCTCTCACAGTGGAATCTTAAGAGATTGAATGACATATTGGAAGGAGGGTGAATAAAAAGTCTGAAAATCTGTTCTAAACCTCTCCCCCATTTGATCTTGACCTGCACGCACTCAATACTTCCACAATTCGGCATATTCCCAACTTCCCATACTACCACGTTAAGTTTATGTCTTCGTACTGTGACTCCAGCCTTGGAAATACCATTCTTCCAGCCAAGGTGAAAAAAAATGACCATGGGCACCAGGTCCACAAAAGAGCTGTGAGCTTAGCTCGGAGTAGAATTTGAGGGGACTGTGATGGGTTGCTTCAGCCCAGAGGCCCCCACCAGCAGATGACTGGCCAGAACCTTTATTTGGTTTTCTGAAAGTCAACATTGTGTCTCTCTAGGTCTGGGCAACTCCTCTGGCTCTGGGCCATATTCCCCCACCTTGGAAACCCCTCTAGTATCTCTCGCCGTCGCCTCAGCTGGCCTCCCAAAGCCGGCGTGGTCTCTCTGTACAGAGCACCACCTTCCTGTCTCTGATTGTCCTTGTCCCATAGGAACTCCTAGAGGCTCCTTTAATCCACTGTTCTCTTAGTCTCAGAGCTGTTCTTTTTCTCCAAACAGAACCAGAAAGGCACTTCTCCTTGGCCCATTAACATTTGGAGACCGCCATTTAACCCAAGCTGCTCAGATACACACAGTGGAAGTGCACACACCCTGTGCAAACTCATGCGCACAGGCAAAATTCACATCTGCATCCGCACCACCCCCTGGAGAGGGAGACTCACCTTCCGGGAAGGCTGTACCAATGCATATAACGTATTTGTTCCTTGTGATGTAGGAGCAGAAGACTAATGAGAAAAGAAAGAAAGTTATTTCAGAAGCGTAGATCCAACAGAATCCTAGGGAGGGAGGTCATCTCTTCCACCCCTCCCCCCAACGCTGCCCTGACAGAAGCTCTAAGCATTAGTGAAAGGAACCCTGGACTCAGGAGGTCGGACAACCTGAATGCTCATCCCCCTCTGTCAGTAAAGGTAGCATTCTCCGCAACCCTTATAATACACCTACATGAGAGGAAGGGTCATCATTTGCCCCGTTCTACAGATGAGGCTCCAAAGGGGTGAAGAGCCCAGGTCAGACAGTATAGTCACAGTAGAAGTGGAATTCAAGCCCCAGACTCGCCGGAGGTCTCTCCTCAATACCTCAGTGCCTCCCGCTGGCAACATGACTGCCTTCTCTGCACCTGGACCAGGTGTCCTCAAAGGCAGGTAGCCATCCTTCTTCTAAGAAGCTCTAGAGGAGGAGGTTCCTCATTCAACATCTCAGTCTGAGATGAGCTCTTCCTTGCATTTATTCAGATTCCTCATGTGGGAATCCAGTGTGGATAAAGCCCGAAAACTAGCAGGTAACAGTCACTCCTGCATCTCTCTTTAAGGCTCTCGGACTTCGACCCACTATCAGTGAATCACATTATCTTATAGGGAACGGGAGGAGACAACCCCCACCTTGGGAATCCCAGAGTGGCTGTGAGGGCTGAGCACTCCCCTCCCACCCTCTCCCCTTCTTCCTCAGCTCCTCTCTTCTTTCATTGTCCTCCCTTCCCTTCTGTCCCTTCACTTTCTCCTCTTCCTCCTTCTCTTGACCTTTCTCCGAAGCCTACCACCACTCCTCTGCCTGGCAGCTTAGCCACCAAATTGAAGAGGTTAGTGCTTCAGGACTTAAGTCTTTAAAAAAGAAAAAAAGAAAAAAATTGTCGTATTTATCAGAAATTTTTCATCACTGGCCACCAGGAGGCAGTGTTTCCCTTGAGACAGATGCCCCAGCCTGGGTTATGGATAATGTCATTTTAGCTGTCAAAATTAGAGGATGTTTCTCCAGTTCATGGTAAATTTCTATAATCCAAGAACGTTAAAGTCAGGAAGGGGGCAGGTGGAGTGGAGGCTTCAGAAGCCCGTTAGCTCAGCTCTGCAACCTAGAGCACATTAGTTAACCTGTGTCTGTCCTCATCTGCGAAATGGAGGTTGTATTAGACCCACTTCATGAGGCTGTTTTGTGAGATTCATTAAGAAAATAGACATAGTAAGTACTTAATAAATGTTATTGTTGGGCGCCTGGGTGGCTCAATCAGCTAAGCATCTGCCTTCAGCTCAGGTCATGATCCTGGAGTCCTGGGATCGTGCTGCTCAGCGGAGAGTCTGCTTCTCCCTCTCTGTACCCCTCTCCCCTGCTTGTTCTCTCTCTCTCTCTCTATCAAATAAGTAAACTTTAAAAAATTGTTATTGTTGGGCGCCTGGGTGGCTCAGTTGGTTAAGCGACGGCCTTCGGCTCAGGTCATGATCCTGGAGTCCCGGGATCGAGTCCCGCATCGGGCCCCCTGCTCGGCAGGGAGCCTGCTTCTCCCTCTGACCCTCCCCCCTCTCACGCTCTCTATCTCTCATTCTCGCTCTCAAATAAATAAATAAAATCTTTAAATAAATAAATAAATAAATAAATAAATAAATAAATAATTGTTATTGTTAAGGCATTGTAAGATAAAAGAGAACAACCAGATACATCCTTTCCTGAAAACAGATATAATAAGGAGCCGAGATTAAAACAAAACAAAACAAACTATAAGGGCCCCAAGTATTGGAAGTAGCAGGGGGAGAAAACAGAAGCTGAGTCTCCTGACGAGTTTCCTCCTCCTACCGGCTGTCTGGGCCACACCTGTTGCCAGGCATATGGAGGGAAAAAGAAAACCTACCTCAGACTTTCCAGCTCTGTTCAGCTCTGCCAAGACACTCCAGAGCCACACAGATCTTTTCAAACAATTTAACGCAGCTGAGGCCACACTGTCTTTTAGATTCTAGGAGCACCAAGCCCTTATTCTGCCATTCAGGAGTGCGAGCTTGAGGCCTCCTAATGGAAGCCCCATAGACAGGCCTGGAAGGGATTCGAGAAACTAGCGTGGTACCTGGGACTGGATTTCGGAGTAGATGGTGCTTCCTTCTCCAGGGGGATTACGCCTCTGCTCCTGCACAAGAAAGAGTAAAGGGGCACGTGGTCAGATGGCTGTGTCTGTCCAGATTGGGATTGGATGGGAAGAGACACAGCAAACAAGAGGGGCTCCCAGAAGCTGGCGAAGGAGGTGGTCATTCGTCACCCCAGGATGGGGAGCCACAGTAGAAAGAGCGACTCACACTGGAGGAATTAGTGTCACGCGCAAGGAAGCACCCATGTGTGAAGGGATTGCACCTAGTGACCCTGACCAAGGGGGCTCCGATCACAGGCTTTACTTTGGTAACTTAGAAACTTGCCTTTGCGGACTTCTCAGCCAAATTTGCCACATGACCACTGATAATGGGCTGAGCCCTGAGTGGGGCTGTGATCTGAGCCTTGAAATTCAGAGGCTTTCACTGTTTTGAAGCTCCCTCTCTAGATCGAGCCTTGGTGGCCAGTTTGCCCTTGGCCTCAAGCCAGTCCCCAGGCAGCTACAGAGCTGGGGGAAGCCTTGGACCCGAGGCCAGAGGCAGAGAGACCATGCCCTTCCTGTTCCCTTCCTGCCCACAGCAGACTGAGCAGGGAGAAGCCAGCAAGGGATGAGGCCACGGACGGAGGAGCTCCTGAGTCAGAGGCAGAGAAACAGGCCTGAATCCCCACAAGACTTCTTATACTCTGACTAGTTATTTTCTACTCTCCTCCTGCATTTACCTAACCTAAAGCAATCTTCATTTTGTGGGAGGAAAGGCCGTTTGTCACGAGCATTTGGGCTTCTAGCTATAGGTAGATGCACTTGCTCTCAGGAATTTGTCCCAGGAGCTGTTTCACATCCCAATATTCCACTAATGGGGCAAGGAAACAGGCTGGGGAAACTGCCCTGATTCCTGGCTCCCACTGAGCCCAGACCTGAGGGAAGAGGCTTGCCTGTTCTACAAGGCCTCGCACGTGTGGTAAAGCGGGCGATCCCACCGTGCTGCCTTCCCGCCTCACCTCCTCGGGTGGAGGACCAGGAATGCCGGTCGGTCGGAAGAGGGCCCTTCCCACCCCTCCCGGCCTCCCCAGTTAGGCACTGCCTTTCCCCAGGCCTGTCCCCACTTCCTGCCCTGCTGGGGCGCGGGGGCGGGGCAGAGCCGTGGGGGGCATCCTGCAGCGGCTCTGCAGTGCCCGCCCCGGCTACAGCCCTGCATGCCAGGCCGAGGCAGCCACTCCCCGCAGACGATGGCGGGAGAGGTTGTCAGCAGATTCTCGGAGGAAGCCGCTCTGGCTCCTTGACTCTGGGTTAACCCGGTTTCTCTCTCTAGCACCTCAGCTGGACTCAGGCCTCCCCCCAGGAGGTTGGGAGCGCAGACCACTGAGCTAGCGACGACACCATATGCTTTGGTAGGTCAGGCTGGCATCCTCCGCAGCCACGGCAACAATCAAGGGACCCACAGAAGTAAACTTGGACGTGCAGGGGCCCGAGACAAAAGTCTTTTGTGGCCAGACACAAAAGACAAGAATGCTGGATTCTTCTTGGGGCTTAGTGCCGCTGGGAAGATGGGGCGGAAGCAGGGCCACCAGGGTGCCGTCTGGGGAGAGAAGAGCCGCATTCTGTCCACCACTGTGGGTGTGCTGGGCTCCAACCTTCTCAGCAGGCTCCCCCTCGTGTTCTGCTTTTCCCCCACAGCCAGAGCTAGGAGGCTGCTGGGGAAGACAGACGGGAGGGCTGAGGATCACTTTGAGAGGACGCTTGTGTGGTACCCTTTGTCTCCCTGCTCCTAATGGCTATCCTCCCCAGAAGCTTCTTCCAGGCTAGTGGAGAGAGACTCCAGCCCCTCATGTACCGTACCTGATTACTCCTGTTTTGCACGGTGTTGACGTCTTCATAAACTGTCAGAATTTCCCCTCGGCTGGTCTCTGTAGGAGAAAAGCAGCAAAGACAGAGCTGCAGAGACATCCAGAGGGTATCCTGGCCAGGCTTCTGCTTCTCACAGTTCCACCTCCACCCCAGACGGCCAAGACCTTGAGAAAGATTCTAGAAAGGAGGCGGATTAGTGCTCTCCCCAGGATGCCCACAGACCACAGCAGCAGCAACCACCCGACATAGCTACTCCATCGGGCCGGGCTGTCCCCCAACAAACCAGCCACCAGCAGGCAAATCTGCACATCGGGCTGTAAACATGCCGAGGACCCCCAGAAGGTATGACCTGGGAGAAAGGGCCCAGCAGCTTTCCCTCCCCCAAACATGCACACGCATGTCCCAAGCTCCAGAGGAAAAGCAGGTGCTGTACTCCCAGGCGCATGCCGCTGGGGATGTCAGGTCGGGCAACAGCACCTCCTGGGGACCCTTACTCACCTGACTGCTTCCTCCTCCTCCTCCACACACAGAAGCAGGTGAGGGCACCCAGGAACAGCGTGATTAGAAAAATCACAATGATCATCGTAAAGTTCACAGAGGTGTATTCTAGGGACATGGAAAGCACGAGGCCTGAGCTTTCAGCCTCTCTCTCTCCTCCCTTCCCACCTGTCCGCCGCAGGACTTGTTTCAAACCCGCACTCCTCCCTCACGTCCCACTGACTGCACCATCAAGGCTGTCTCTCTACAGTTGGGTGACTTCCCCAACTGATGCTAACAGCATGGGTACCAATATCTGACCGGCCTGGCTCTGTGACCTTGGGCAACTTCCTTAACCTCCTGAGCTTCCATTTTCTCACGTATAAAAGGAGCTGGTGTTATCTACATAAGGGAGTGGAGCATATGATCTAATACATGTAAAGCATCCGGCACAGCAAATGTGACATCTACCCATTGTTTTGTTAACTCAGCAAAACATATCGCACCCACTCTGTGCCAGGCAGCCCTCCCCTCCCCTTCCTTCCAGTCCTGCCACCACTGATCCTCCTCATTGGAACTTCTACATTTACCGTCTGTGTCACACCTGTGGCCTGATGTGCAAGCCCACTGACAAGAGGGTCAGGGAAAGGAATTATGTGTTCCAGATGTTAGCTGGTGAGGCTCTTCACAAACATCACCTCGTCTAATCCCACCAACAATCCTGGGAGTTACCTATTATCATCCCCATTTTACCCAAGAGAAAAACTGAGGCTCAGAGAAGGTAAGGAATCTGCCTGAGGTCACAGAGCTAGTGAATAATGAAACCACAGCTGACATGACCCAAAAGCCAGTGTCCTTGTCACTCCAAATCGCTTCAGCTTGCTGGTTTCTTCTTTGCCTAGGAACGCCTAGTTTTGTTGCCCCTATTTGGCCGTAAGTTCCTTAAGGATAGGGACATCAAGTAGGTTTTTCCCTGTAATGCCCATGCTGACGATACATTAAGTCTAATCTTATTGGATTTATTGATCCAATAAAAATTGGTGCAAACTTAACTCAAGGTAACTCTTAGGATGATTGGGGAAGGTGTGTGCTATGGTGAGCGCTGTGAATTGTGTAAGACTGATGAATCACAGACCTGTACCCCTGAAACAAATAATACATTATATATTAATAAATAAATAAAGATAGACAGATGACAGATGATAGATGATAGATAGATAGATAGATAGATAGATAGATAGATAGATAGATAGATAATAGATAGATGATAGATAACTCTTAGGATGAGCATAAGCAATAAACCAAGAAACTCTTCCAGGAACCCCTGTGAACATCCTCCCATGACCTAGGGCACCGTGTACACCACAGTTACCTCTTGGGGAACTACATGGCTTGGAGGAGTTATCCTTCCTTGGGAGGAGGAAGCAAGTCTCCATCAGTCTCTCAGAGGAAGAAAGTGATGATCAGCAGCCGTGGCAGGGCTGTGACCCACCAAACAGCTAAACATTCCCTACATGAAAGAAAAACTAGCATCTCCTAGGAGATTCTTGTTGGGGATAAAATTCTTCCCAGACTAAGATAGGCCTGGGCTTATGGGAACTGTGTGCCCAGAGACCAGGACCACCCCAGGGAGGGGCAGCAAGGCGCTTGAGGAGGCAGCCAAGGGATCTTATACCCCAGTATCTCTGGCATGAGACTGATTATGGGGTCCAACACTTTCAGCCCCTATTAGTCCAAAGTGCTCCACTTACGCTTGTCAACACTCCGACAGCTCTGGGTGAAGGTGTGGTTTACCCAGCTGACTGGGTTGCTGACATTGCAGGTGTATATGTCCAAGGCATTGACATCAATCTGTTCCTCCAGTTTGCTGAGATTGCTTGGTGTCTGGATCAACTTGCTCCCTCTATACCAAACATAGCTCACATTACCACCTCTGGAGACCGAGCAGGACAGAGACACTTGGCATCTCCCTCCGTCCAGGACCTTCCTCTCCTCCACTATTTCAAGTGTCCCTACATGATCTGGAAGCAGAGATTCTGATCAGAAAGGCACTGGAAATAAAAGCCCTGCAAGAGTCAGAGAGGCAGGCTGAGCTGTCCTAGGGACTCACCAAATACAGAAACCTGGAACTGGTGATTCTTAACTCTCCCACTGTCATCAGTCACCTCCAGGAGGTAGAGGCCACTGTCGTCCTGCTGAGCTGTTTTGATGAGAAGAGTTAAATTCCTTTTTATAAAATTGAATGTCTTTTTGAGATGATTAAAAGTCCAAGTTTCAGACCCATTCTTCCAAATCACTATCACGGAAAATTTTGAACTTGAGTGCTTCTGCATCTTCCATTGAGCAGAGTTTATGTGCTTTGTCTGTGTCCTGGGAGGCAGTAACGAGAGTTGGTTTCCTGAGAGTCCGACCACGCGTTCAGGAGAATCTAGGGATTCTAGAAAAGAGAACACAGGTTGGAGGCGGCAGGAAGGGTGCCAGCCCTGAGCATTGCAGGCAGTTGGATGTGACTTCCCTTGAGCCAAGAGGAAGGAGGCATGTGTGAGGAGACCGGAGCCTAACGGAACCTGAAAGTGTACTTCCCTTGGGCCTCCCCCTCCCCAAGCTCCATGGCCCTCCTCTGAAGGAGCCCACCAACCAGTAATGATAGCTAAAATCTCCTGACTTCTTTCTGTGGGGCAGCAGGTTTTAAACACTTCATATAAAGCTCATAAAACACTTTTATATAAAGTTTTATGAAAACATTTTAACCATGTTTCACTATATGTCTTAACGATGACCTTATGAGAGTTTTATCCCTATTTTACAGGTGAAAAAACTGACTGGAAAGAACTGAAAAGTAACCAGCCCAAGTTACACAGCAAGAAAGATGAGCTTGAAATCCAGTCAATTTGGCTGTAGAGGCTGAGTTCTTAACCACAATGTTATAAACACTGTATCTGACGTGACTCCCTCCACGCAGGGCTGAGGCAACCACCAGTGGCCAGTGGTGACTCTGGAAATTCTGTATGGCCAGACCCAGTAAGATGAACCCTCCAAGTTCCCTTCATAGCTCCCTCCCCTGTCCTCCCATAGAGCTAGATTCATAATCCTCTCTTGAAGCACTTAACACATCAAACGTGGGTCATTTCCCATTAATGTTTGCCAAATTTTTAGTCACTAGGAAGTCTCCACAGCCATCAATCACTCCCTTAAGAATAATTAGAGAAAAATAAAACTACATGACCGTGAGACCTCCCTGCATTTGTCCTCTCTAGAGATCAAGATGTGTGCTAATTAAAATGAGGGTGTGACATAGAGCTACTAGTTTTTGCCTCCCCTAGGAAAGCCCAGTGCAGTCAGTAAAGAAAAATGGAAGCTCGAGTGGCCATCTTTGGCAGGGAAGCTATGTGGCATGGCCACATAATAAATGTAGGAAATAAAAAGGTCTGCCAGGGAGGGTCAGAAAGAATTTGGAGGAGAGAATAGGAGATGGGGATTGTTATATGAACAGATCTGTTAAAATAGGAGAGGGGCATTTTTAGGTATCCGGATGCATTATAAACATGCTCACTCCCAACCACACCTTCACCCTGGCATTTCCTCAGGAGCCAGAGTAAATAATTAAAGAAACTATTTGGTTGATAGATTGTGTTTCTTTGATCTTGACAGTCCAAAGAATAGATTGTGTTTCTTTGATCTTGACAGTCCAAAGAATAAAACACATAGTGTTCTGGGGCACTTGGCTGGCTCAGTCAGTAGAGCACTAGATTCTTGATCTCAGGGTTGTAAGTTTGAGCCCCACTTTGGGTGTAGAGATTACTTAGGGAAAAAATCTTTAAAAGCAAAACAAAACAAACAAACAAAAAACACATAGGGTTCCTATTCATATTCTTAGGATTTGAACTGGCTCTGTCCATTGCCAAACCAGAAACAGAGACTGTGTCTTTGTCTCCCATGGTCCTATATATGAGAACAGGCCAAGAGGTGCAATCAAGCATTGCACAAAAATCCTGAGAACAATCCCCACTGGTTACAATCCCCAGTGTAACCAGGGCCCCAAAGAGTTGGGGCCTCAACCAAGACATGGTTCCTGATGCCAGAGAATTTGTGATCTGAAAGCAGAACATACTTTTATTCCACAGCATACACTTAATAGTTGAGATAAGTAATCATCTAAAGAATTCTAATTCTGATCATGAAGACCACATTAAGACATGCTAACCAACCCTGCCACTGAGAATAACCAGGAAAAAAAATGGGCAAAATATAAAAGCTTATTGCTAAAGGAATCGGGGAGCTAATAAAGCAGTGAAATATTATGGGGCTAAGATCTGGAAGAAGGAAACTCAGAGAGGTGAGACCAGCATTTTTGACTCCTAGTCCCTGGAGGCTCACAATAAACTCAAGGAACTAAAAGAACACAGAGTTCAGGGATCTCATGTTAAGAAGTGGGTATACTGGGACACCCGGTTAAGCATCCAACTCTTGATTTTGGCTCAGGTCATGATCTCAGGCTTGTGAGATGGAGCCCACATCAGGCTCTACACTCAGCATGAAGTCTGCTTGGGGATTCTCTCTCTCTCCCTCTCCCTCTGCCCCTCCCCCCTGTCTCCCTCTTTCTCTCTAATAAATAAATAAAATCTTTAGGGGTGCCTGGGTGGCTCAATTGGTTAAGTGTCTGCCTTGGGCTCGTCATGATCCCAGGGTCCTGGGATCAAGCCCTGAGTTGGGCTCCCTGCTCTGAAGAGTCTGCTTCTCCCTCTCCCTTTGCCCCACCTCCTGCTTATGAAATCTCTCTGTCAAATAAATAAATACAATATTTTTTAAAATAAAAACATAAGTTATTCTTGGAGAAAAATAACATCAACATGAGCATTAAATTATTTCTAAAATTTTCATGCATAATGTCCAAAACGAAATAAAAAACAAACAGGCATAAGGCGAGGAAACATGTTCAAACTTAAAAGAAAAAATAACCAATAGAATTAGGCTCAAGGGGCACCTAGATAACTCTGTAATTATGTTTCAAGGAATTAAAATTAAAATTAAAATTAATTTAATTTAAATTTAAAGTTTGAGAATTCCAGCAGAAAATCAGTGTGATAGAATGCAAAAATGGGGACACCTGGGTGGCTCAGTAGGTTAAGCATCTGCCTTTTGCTCAGGTCATGATCCCGGGGTCCTAGGATTGAGCCCCACGTCAGGCTCCCTGCTCCACAGGAAGCCTGCTCCTCCCTCTCCACTCACCCTGCTTGTGTTCTCTCTCTCACTGTGTCTCTCTCTGTCAAATAAATAGGGTGGGGGGATGGGTTAGCCTGGTGATGGGTATTAAAGAGGGCATGTTCTGCATGGAGCACTGGGTGTTATGCATAAACAATGAATCATGGAACACTACATCAAAAACTAATGATGTAATGTATGGTGATTAACATAACAATAAAAAATTTAAAGAAAAAATGCAAAAATGGCCATGCCCCTTGCAATGTGACTTTGTAGCTCCACCCATCCTCGAGAGATGGCGCTCACTTCCCCATCTCCAGCAACTGGGCTGGCCTTCTGAATACAATGCAGCAAAAATGACCTTGTGCCACCTGGGTGGCTCAGTCAGTTAAACGTCTGACTTCAGCTCAGGTCATGATCTCAGGGTCCTAGAATTGAGCCCCACCTCAGGTTCTATGATCAGCCAAGAGTCTGCTGCTACCTCTCTCTCTCCCACTACCCCTCATCCTGCTTGTGCTCTCTCTGTCTCTCTTTCTCTCAAATAAATAAATAAAATCTTTAAAAAGAGAGAGAGGGGGGCGCCTGGGTGGCTGAGACCTTTGGCTCAGGTCATGATCCCTGGGTCCTGGGATCAAGCCCCATGTCAGGCTTTCTGCTCAGTGGGGAGCCTGCTTCTTCCTCTCCCTAGGCTGCTATTCCCCCTGCTTGTGCTCACTCTCTGTCAAATAAATAAATAAAATCTTTTTAAAAAAAAAAGAAAGAAAAGAATTATACAACAGAGGATTAACAAGCCATTTTTTTATTTCACAAAAAAATCAAATGGACCATTTCCTTACACCACACACAAAAATAGATTCCAAATGGTTGAAAGACCTAAATGTGAGACAGGAGTCCATCAAAATCCTAAAGGAGAACACAGGCAGCAACCTCTTCCTAGAAACATCACCAAAGGCAAGGGAAGCAAGGGCAAAAATGAACTATTGGGATTTCATCAAGATAAAAAGCTTTTGCACAGCAAAAGAAAGAGTCCACAAAACCAAAAGACAACCGACAGAATGGAAGAAAATATTTGCAAATGACATATCAGATAAAGGGCTAGTATCCAAAATCTATAAAGAACTTATCAAACTCAACACCCAAAGAACAAAAATAATCCAATCAAGAAATGGGCAGAAGACATGAACAGACATTTTTCCAAAGAAGACATCCAAATGGCCAACAGACACATGAAAAAGTGCTCAACATCGCTCGGCATTAGGGAAATCCAAATCAAAACCTCAATGAGATACCACCTCACACCAGTCAGAATGGCTAGAATTAACAAGTCAGGAAATGACAGATGTTGGCGGGGATGCAGAGAAAGGGGAACCCTCCTACACTGATGGTGGGAATGCAAGCTGGTGCAACCACTCTGGAAAACAGTATGGAGGTTCCTCAAAAAGTTGAAAATAGAGCTACCATATGATCCAGCAATTGCACTACTGGGTATTTACCACAAAGATACAAATGTAGGGATCTGAAGGGGCAACTGCACTCCAATGTTTATAGCAGCAATGTCCACAAGAGCCAAACTGTGGAAAGAGCCAAGATGTCCACTGACAGATGAATAGATAAAGATGATGTGGTATGTATACACACACACACACACACACACACACACACACACAATGGAATATTACTCAGCCATCACAAAGGATGAATACTTACCATTTACATCGAAATGGATGAACTGGAGGGTATTTTGCTGAGCTAAATAAGTCAATCTGAGAAAGGCAATTACCACATGATCTCACTAATATGTGGAATTTAAGAAACAAGGCAGAGGGGGCGCCTGGGTGGCTCAGTTGGTTAAGCGACTGCCTTTGGCTCAGGTCATGATCCTGGAGTCCCTGGATCGAGTCCCGCATCAGGCTCCCTGCTCAGCAGGGAGTCTGCCTCTCCCTCTGACCCTCCCCCCTCTCATGTGCTCTCTCTCTCTCTCTCTCTCTCTCAAATAAATAAATAAAATCTTTTAAAAAAAAAAAGAAACAAGGCAGAGGATCATAGGGGAAGAGAGGAAAAAAATGAAACAAGAGGAAACCAGAGAGGGAGACAAACCATAAGAGACTCTTAATCATAGGAAACAAACTGAGGGTTGCTGGAGGGGAGGGGGTGAGAGGATGGGGTGGCTGGGTGATGGACGTTGTGGGGGAAGGTTATGGGGTGTAATAAGCACAGGGTATTATGTAAGACTGA